TCATTTGTTAGTATATATTAAATAAACTATCGATATCTATATCTTTACCCAAATCTCAACTACAAATAAAACCTTCTACTTACCACATATATTATCCGTTCGCTTTTAACATTTAAGCAACATAAAGAACTGACCGTAACAGTAGGTTAAAAAAATTAATTTTAATAAAAAATGTTATTCCAAAAGTCAGAGGCAGTATTTATTATTAAAAAAAATAAGAAATTTTCATTTTGAATGTTAGAGATACATTATTATTTTTTAGTATTAAAATGTCATTCTGAATTGAATATCAAAGGTAGATTGTGATTAAAAATCAACAAAATTGTTGTTTTTTTTAATATTTAAATACTATTCTGAATGTTCTGAATGTTAAAGGTAGATTGTTATTAAAGAATAATAAAATTGTTGTTTTTTAATATTCAAATACTATTTTGAATATCAAGGTAAATTATTGTTAAAAAATATCAAAATTATTATTTTTTTAACAATAAAAAGTCATCACAAATATTAAAGGCAGATTAGTATTAAAAAAAATTTTTTGATCTATCAGATTTAGATTTAGATTCAGAATCATCAAATATAAATTTAAATTCAGATTTTTCAGTTTTGGATTTGAATTTGATTGATTTGTCAGATTTAGATTTAAATTCAAATTCAAATTTTTCAGATTCAGATCAAACAAATTTTACTTAATTCTGATCCGAATTAATTTATGTAGAATATTATTTATAGGTTTTTAATTATTTTCTTTATTTTTTCTTTATTTTCTTTAAGAATACATTAAGATAAATAAATCAAAAATGATTTTTTAGTGATTTTTTAACTATTTTTTATTTTTTTTTTTACTTTCTTTAGAAATACATTAAGATAAGTAAATCAGAGATTAATTTTTTGGTTTTTTTTTTATTATTTTTTTTATTTTTTCTTATCTTTAAAAAATCTAATATATCTTTTCTTAAATAAAATATATTATAATATATTTTTTTTGAGTAATTTATTAAAATAAAATTATAAATAATAAATAAATAAAAAATGAGTTTTATTTAGTTTTGATTTTATAAATTGTTGCTTAATTGATTTTTGGCTATTTTTAAGCTGATTGTTGATTGATTTTAAGATTGATTTTAGACTAATTTGAATATTAATACTAATTGGTATACAAATTTCTATTTATTCAAATAACTACAAAAATACTAATTTTACTAATTTTTGATAATGATTAGCAGAAATTAGACTATATTTTAGCCAACTTTTGGCATTTTAAAAAAGTGATAAAATGAATTATTTTGACTAGTAAGATATATATAAATAAAAATTTCAATTAGTGTAATGATTTTAAATTCTATACTTTTAGTATAATAACAGATGAATTAATTCAAGGTCAACAAAAATTTTTTGTTCTTTAAATAATATTTTAGAATTACAAGGCAAATACTTCTAATTTTTAGTTACTTGAAATAAAGAATTTAGATCATTGTAATGCCAAAACTGTTGTATAAGTAATATATAACACTATTGAATATTTTGGAATAATTTATCATCAATGCTTTATTTTTATATCCGATAATATAAATTATATGAGTGGTAAAACTAAAGGAGTAGTTGTATTATTTAATGAATTATCTGAAGTTAAACCTTATTGAATTTCTTGTAACCTTTACATAACGCATATTATTATAAATAATTTTGAGAAAGTATGCTTTGGTAAATTATTTAATATAAGTGAATTTTCACAAAATAAGCTTTTTACAAATCTTTTATATTTAACTTAAGAATTTTATAATGGTTATAACTAAGGTTGCTAGACGAAATCAAGAGTTTAGACAGACGTTTAAATGGTAAAAGTAAAACTTGGTTAAATTATATTAAAACCTTATTAAAAAATCTGCGAAATTTGAAAAAAGGTAAAACTATATTAAAGCTTATAAAAATGGCGAAACTATATTAAACACTTAATAAAAATTTAGCAAAACTAAAGGTTTTACCGTTTTGCTAAATCCAAAATGAGTTTAGATAAGCAACCTTAGTTATAACAAAAGTAATAAAGAAAAAAATTTCAATGAGAATTAATTCTATTCATATTTGTATGCTTTATAAAGAATGAATTCAATATCAATTATCTAACCAATTAGATTTAGATGACTTTACGAATTGATATATGCAAAATAATATTTGAAATATAGAGAAGCACATATACAATTTTTACCTTATCTTAAATCTTGAAAAAATACACCAAAAACTTACATTAAAAAATAAGAACTATTTAAAGTTTAGCTTTATAATCTATTTCTTAATATTCAAATCAAAATCTTAACTCGCTTTAGCAAAGATTTTTATCATCCATTTGTAAAATTTTTACTGGATATGATCCAAATGTTCAAGATGTTAATGAAGATAAAGATCTTGAATAAAAAGCAAACATATTACTTGGGAAATTAATTGATAGAAAATAATTATATCTAATATTTACATCTTATTGTGCTTAAACATCTAATAATATTTGAAGCAGGTATGTTAATATTTCATTTATTTATTTTAGAATTTATTAAATTTTAAAGCATTAATTCAATTATATTATGTTAAATAGCATCAACAATTTCTTGGCCAATATATCAACTCCAAATCCTTTATTACATTTTATCTAAATATTTACAACATTTCTAGATGGATTAAGCATTTATTAACGAATTACAAATTATATGTTTCTTTATTATATTTAGCAAAATTGTTTTTTTTTGAAAAAAAAAAATAGATAAGTACAATGATTTGATACTAAAACATTAAGTTTTAATGATATAATGATCCATTTCGTCATCCAATCATGAATTAAATAATACTCAAGATCAATAAAATTCAGTAATATATGCTTATTTATATTTAATAATACTAATAATTTACAAATGTATAAAATGTAGCTTATTCCGATATAATAAACTTAATTTATAGCTTATTTTTGATATCAATAAAAATATCAATATGATAATATTATATATGTAAAAATTATCATACGATTTTTGAACGATTTATTGCAGATTTTAAAATCCGATTGTTGTGTAATGATAAAAATCTCCAATATCTCCAATATGCAAAAATTTATAATTAACTTATAATCTTTAAGATATCATGCAATTAAAAAGAAGTAAACTACAAAACAAAAAAAAAAAAAATAAAAAAATAATAATTTAAATCATTATAATTTACTTTTACATATTTATCTTTTTTGAATTTTGAAATTTTTTTAAATTAGAGTCATTACAATTTTACTTGATTTTAGGGTTCGATATGAAGTAAATGTCAACAAAGTCGAATCGATATTGCGAGATTAAGTTTTGAAGGTTCTCGATGTAAACGTAAGCCATTTGTTACATGTCAAATGAATGAGTCGCTTGTGCCATTAAAATCGAGTTACAAGATATAGTAACTGTAATGTGATTTTAATAACAAACCGCCCAACTGGTTTATTATATATTGCCTAATAAATTAAAATTCGTAAACAGTAAATATAAATAATAATAAATAGTAAATTAAATTAATCAATTAACAAATAAATTAAAATATTCAAAATTAATACGAGTAAAACAAAAAAAAAAAAAAAAAAAAAAAAAAAAACTATAAAAAATCTGATACAAATAATTATTCTGCTAGTTAGAGGAAAAATTAATTTAATTAATTAAAGAGTAAATTTAAAAAATTATATTGCTTTATAACTTAAAAATACAGATATAGAACCAAAAGGCTTTCCCGGTGCTACATCTTTTAATTGGTAAATAAGTTTATCGGTTTCGTTATCTCCATAATGCTCAAGTAAACGCAATTTTATTTCAGCTTTTCCCAAATATTCTTTATTAAATCAACAAATAAAATATGATTAATAACAAGTTAACAAAAAAAAAATAAAAAAAGATATAAAAACAAATTAATTACTCATTGCTTACCATCTTGTGTATATTTATCATACTGATATACCGACAATTTTAATGTATCTTCCAAAGTTGTGACCGAAAACATTAAATACTAGAATTATAAAATTGATTTTTTAATATCTAATTATAATAAACCTAATAATATTGTTAATACATTATAAACATCAATTACCTGATTCCAACGAGGAAATATGTCATCCTTTACAACTTTTGTTTTAAAAACTTGCCTATTTAACTGTACCTGACAATATGTATTTACAACATTTTTTTCTTTACCAACTACAAACAAAAAAGAAAATCAAAACCAAAATTTATGTTATAAAAAAAAAATAATAATAAAAGATTTACCATGTGATTCAACTGGCAAGGTACCCTCAAATACTAGTACTCTCAAAGTACCACATATCGCATCAACTTGAGTTAAATCACTTTCTATGATAAACAAAATTTATTAATAACAATACGTAATAGCCATGCAAAGTTCAAACAATTGAAACTATACCCTTCTTTTGATTTTGCCTTTCGACGGTTAGGCAATATCCACTTGCTGTTTCAAGTTGATTAACCCAATGTCGTTTTATGGAGACATTGTTTGCTTTAAGGTTGATAATATCCTCAATATGAACAACCTGAAATATTTCATCTGGAGATTGATCAAAATATCATCAATATTATTGTTATGATTACGGTCAATGTCTAAATTTACGACTAACCGTGACCATCTTTTACAAATATTTCGTTCAATGGTATTGGTGGTTTGTATAATGCATATTGATATCCTCGTGCCACGGCTTTTTTATTATGTTGTGCGAGTATCAACAAGTCATTGAACAAATATCCATATAAATGTCTACCACTTTTCGCCTTTCTAAGAGGTCCTTCAAGAATAAATTGTCTTTTTCCAACCAATCGAGTTGTACTCATCAAATCCAATTTCTTTATAGTAAAAGAAATTGATTTAGTTTATAAAAAAAAAAAAAAAACTCTGTCATCTTTATTTTACCTCATCTAGGTCTTCAAGATCCACTAATTTTGAAATTTCCGTTAGTTTAAGCTGATTTTCTTGTTCCCGCGCTGCTTCATTAGTATCCTCTAAAATGGCTTCGGCTTTATGTAAAGCTTGCATCATATCTTCGTGATCTAAATTATTTTTGTCAGTGTAATGTAATATCTAATGAAAGAAAAAGAAAAAAAGGGGGGATAAAATATCAGACGAGATGGAAAGCTTATGATGAAAGGAAAACATACAAAATGTTATTACCTGACGTATCAATAAGGGATATCTTGTTATCCTTTGCATAGGTTTCAACAAAAAGCTTGATAAATCCAATGACCCGCATTGAGGATTTTGTTGAGCTTTCTATAATATTATTTATACATTAAATGAATTTAGTAAGAATGTTACATCAAAACGTTAGCACGAATCAAGACATTTATTTTTTACCTTTAGAAATTCTTCAAATCTTTTATCTTCATTCCGTTTTTTTTGTAAAAATTTACTTGCATTTAATTGATTACCACAATATGTTTTATAACATTTTAAACATTCGTAATGTTTTAAGAGTATATCCCCAACGCTATCAACAAAAAATTCATCCTCTTTTTGTCTTTGTTCCAAGTCGCTTAGTATTTCCGTATTGCAAAGTAATATATCCTCAATATTTGAAAATATAGTATTTAATTCTTCTGATGATAGTATCGTTTGTAAAGGTCCATAAAATATTTCAACTATCATCTGAAGGTCTCGAATGTAACTTTGCTCTGTTGATATTAATTCATAAATTGATTCTTGTCTTTTACGTTCCTCTTTTGATACTCCTGTAAGCTTTTCAGGATCCATAATACTTGCCCATGTTATGGCAGAAGGTCCCTTCGAAAAAGATATTTAATATTATTAAAGATAGTAAAAAGAAATTGAAAAGAAGCTTCACATACTTGTCCGGGAGACACAGGACTTTCTGATCTTCGTAATGGATTAGGTGGAGAAACTGCTAAATATGAAGTATTTTGATTTTTATGAGCTTCGCCTAATTGCATCCAAGGAATAAATGTAATTGGACTCGACCCAAATAATCTCGTAGGACTTGGGCTCCTAGTAATTTCAAGACTTGGTTTTCTAGTTAAATTACTAACATTAAGTTTAAGCAGCGATTTTTTAGCAAACGAATTCGTAGTTGGTGAATTTACACTTTGAATATTGACTCTCGGAATGTCGATAGGCGAAACCTTTTTAACAGTGTTAGATGATGAGTCTTCTTGTATAGAATTATAGATAATATTCGTTTTTGAATTAATATCATGATTTTTAGAAATGGTTTCCTCTTTAACCTGATTTGAATCATCTTCACTCGTATCATCTTCACATAAGAAAAAAGATAATAAAATAAAATAAAATTAAAAATAAAAAAATGTAAAAAGATTATTTTTCATTATTATTAAAAAGGCACATAATTATCATATTTTTACATTGAATTTTATTTAACAGATATATACTATTTTAAATTCTCTAATTTTTGTTTCTTTGAATTCGTAATAAATATGCAACAAGAAGTAATAAATAAAGTAGTACGGGAAGATTTCTCACACACACATCACTATATTATAAAAAAAAAAAAAAAAAAAAGACAATAAATTTTCCGACAACAGTATTAAAATCAAACACTAACCGCTACTACTAGTAATTTCTTCGACATAATTCGCAGGAACAATTCCCTTAGAGCCTTCAAACTCTGCTTTCCACCAGTCACCAAAAGACTTGTCGAGAATGGAAATAATGTTACCAGTCTTAATATCAAGTTGTTCAATGGTTTGAGCTTTATAATCAAACAATACTTTAGCTTTACAAATTTCTTTTTCTATCAGTTGATTGAAAAAAATTTAAATTATAAGTTAGAAATATGATTCTGCTACGAAAACATTAATATAGTAAAAAAAAAAATAATTACCTTCTTTATAGATCTCAACATGATTTTTGGGAAACCATCCTTTTAACCCAGTTTGTTCGATTGAACCATGCCACCATTCTGCGTTACCTGGATCTTTAGATGGATGAGCGATAAAAACAATTCCGGCCTCAAATTTAAGTTCATCTGGAGCACCGGTACCAAGATAAGGATGAAGTGATTTGACCCGAAATTCTTGTGAATAATCAATATCATTAACTCCTGATGTTGAAGTCGGCGATGTAACTTGAAAAATATCTTCTTCGCTACTGGATGATTGTGGTTTGGGGGTCACTTCACCAGCAAGTTGATCTGATGATAAATTACCAAACCAATCTGCTGACACTCTTCGGTCGATTCTTCCCATGGTTTTTTGACGCGTAGCGGACCCTTCTGTGGCTGAACGCCCAGTTTCAACTCCACCACGACTCTTTAGATTTGGTAATCCAGATGCTAATAGGGCAGCAATACCAGCCATACCAGCCTTATCATCAGCCGGTTGAGATACGCCACTAGATGAGCTTTGTGTAGGAGAACTAGTTCTACCTGTTATGATATAGTTTTAGCAATATGATTTTAATGCAAATATAATTCTTGAAACTTTAAGTGAAATTACTATTATTTACCTGAACTTAAGGGCACAGACCTATCGTTAGTCTTCGTGGGCTTCAACCTCGTTCCTTGTTGGATTTGGCTTAATAAAGCGTTTCGTGTATTAGAGGGAGAAGGCAAAGTTGTTCGTGATTGATTGTTAGGTGATAATGGTTGTTGCAGTGATGGCGATGGAACTGAAGTCGAAGTAGTAGGTAATTGGTGTGGAGGTGGAATGGTATTTGAACTAGAAGGAAATGGTGGTGGAGGTGGAATGGCATTTGAACTAGAAGGAAATGGTGGTGTAGGTGGAATGGCATTTGAACTAGAAGGAAATGGTGGTGGAGATGGAATGGCATTTGAACTAGAAGGAAATGGTGGTGGCGGTGGAATAGAGCTGGTATTTGGAAGTGGTGGAGGTGGAGGAACATTGTCAGAGGGAGGTGGTGGCGGGATAGAATCTGGTTTGGCAGTTATAGTAGTCGAAGTTACATTCGATGGTTCAAAAGAAGAAGAACCGAACAATTTGGATGCAAGATCTCTTGTATTTTCAGAATGAAAATCATCATCACTACTTTCTTCTTCTTTATTAACAACATTCCAATCATCATAATCATCTGGTTTTTGTTTTGGTGATAATTGTACATCAGGTTTTGTAGTTGTACCAGAAGTGAACTTAAAAAACGGATTAGTACTCTCTATAGTATTATTATTATCATCGATGTTGCTACTTTTTTGTTCTTGAGAACTAAATTTCAAAAATGGATTATTGTTAACAGATTCTACAACCGATGATGTTTGTGAATCACTATCAGAAGATTTCACCGACCACATAGAATCTTCCCTTTTTTGTCTTAATCTTTCAGTTTCACGTTTAGAAACCTCTTCACGCTGCTTTGCTTCTTCCTCCATTTTCCTTGCCTTTTCTCTGGCTGCTTTAGCATTTTCTATTAATGCTTCTTGCTCCTTCCTTATACGCTCTTCTTCTGCGGCACGTTCTTCAGCTTCTCTCTTGATACGTGCTAATCTTTCCTCTTCAAGTTTTTTTTCTCTTTCGGCTGTTTCAAGTTTTTTACGTTCTAATTCCAATCCTCTTGCGCGTGCAGCCTCTTCTTTTTCACGGGCTTTCCTACCTTTAGACTTTTCGATTTCTTTCGCTTCTTCTAACCATTGATTTCTTCTTTCCTCTTCTCTAATTTCAAATTCTTTCATTTTACGTAATTTTTCAGCATCTAGCTCTGCTTTTCTTTGCTTCTCCGCTAAAAGTTTTTCGGATCTAATACGTTCTCGTTCCTCTGTTTCACGTTCTGCACGAGCTTTTCTTTCGGATGCTTCAGCCTTTTCACGCGCCAAACGATCCGATAAAGTAGGTGAATCAGGAGCCGATGATGGTGCTGATTTCGAATAGCTAGTAGATTTAATACCCAAAGCTTTTAATTTTTCTGCCACTCTACGCTCACTTTCTGCTTTAATAAAGGCGGCACGTTCTTCAGGCGACTTAGCCTTAGATGTTGAACCAGGGGTTGCACTAATTGCAGAGGTATATACGGCACTTGTTGTAGATGGAGTGGAAGATGGTTTGTTATATGTGACACTACGAGATGAAGAATCATAACGAGATATAGTCGAAGAGCCAAAACTATCCCTTTTAAGATCCTGAATGAATCTTCCAATTTCATCTTTCACACCGATGCCATCCTCCCATTTTCGAATTTCAACTTCCCGATCTCTTTTGTTACGTTCAAGTTTACGATATTGATCTTCAATTTCTTCTCTATCTCTTGAAATCATTATCACCGAATCTTGTAATTTTGAAATACTTCTTTCAATTTCGGCAATTTTATATTCACGCTCAGCTTTTTCAGAATTAATCCTATTCGTCTCTTCTTCAAGCTTTCTAGGATCTGAACCACCGCCACCACCCAAATTGGCAGGTTTTCCGGTAATTGCGGCCATACGAGCTTGAAGCATAGCTTGAGCTTTCGCTTTAATTCTATCAGTTTCTGTAACTATTCCACCAGGCCCAGTACCAATAATGTTTGAATTGGATTCCCCACCGCTGCCTTCTCTTAATTTAAAAAGTTCCAATTTAGCATCTGCAATTTTATTATCCGTTTCACGAACCTTACTAATTAAATCAGGAACAGTTGCTACAAGCATATTGTTCAATTCAAAATCTAAATTTTTGTGTTGCTCAAGTAAAGAATTTAAATCTTCAGAATTTCGAGTGAATTCCCTATTAAGCCATTCTGGATTTGAACGTTCCTTTTCAATGATTTTTCTTTGAATATCTTTAATTTTCTCTTTCCATTCATTATCATCAGTATAATCGCTGGGGTAAGATGTTGGTGCCGCTTCATATGATAAAGCTTCCAACAAAATCTGTTTTTCGTGAATTTGCTTTTTTAAGTCTGATACTTTTGAAGATTTATATTTATCTTCTTCATTAGGTTCAGATATGGATGATGATCTTGATAAAGAAAAGGAAGTAGCAGATTGACTACGAGTAATGGTAGGAATTCGGTGTCTCGATGAAGAAACATAACCAACGTCTTCATCCTTATGCTTATATACCACTGCATCATTTACACCAATTGTAGGTATAGAAGTAAAACTTCTTGACTTTGCATAATTGGCACCTGATGTATGCGTACCTAATCCAATACTTGAACTATAAACATCAGATTTGAGCATATTTTTGATCATATTGACACTTTCTGATAATTCTCTTGAAGAAGGAGGAATAAGTTCAGGAGGAAGTGTAGAAGGTATATCATATCCGTTTAATTTTCTATAAATTAAATGCATGGCAACAGCAAATTCATCCTGATTCAACTTCCCATTGTTATTGGGATCAGACAAATTCCTATAAAATAATAAAGTCAAGAATCTTAATTAAAATAATATATTTATTTTATTTTTAAATAAACGATATATTTTTATTGGTTACTCACCATATTTGCATTAAATCATTTTGAGGTAATCCAGCTTGTGAAAAAATTTCTCTAGCCTTCTCACCTATTGAAATAGAATTATTCATATGAAGTGAAAAACAAAAAATAAAAATAAAAACAAAAATAAAAATAAAAACATACATTTTATAACTTGCCTGTTAAATATCCCACTCCTTGTGAATCCCATTGCCTAAATATTTCCCTATATTGAACTTTTTCTTCAGGTGTCACGGCCCAAGGAATTTTCTCATTTCCTACTATACCAGTCGTGCTATATTGTAGCTGAGGGTTTTGTTGTGGTAGCATACGTTGTGTAAAAGGCATCATATTAGGCATCATACTATTATTTTGGAAACCTGAAGGATATTGACCCATAGTATGACCCATTGACATTCCTATGTATTGTTGCTGTTGTTGCTGTTGTTGCTGCTGTTGCTGCTGCTGTTGTTGTAATTGTTGCTGTTGCTGTTGCTGTTGTTGATTTAGCATTATTTGAGGGCTTATAGTCCTTTGAATTTGTGAAAGTTGTTGCTTTTGCAGCTGTTGCTTTTGTTCAATGGCTTTAATTTGTTCAATAACCCCCATTACCTCATTGTTAATATTATCGGGTATTTTACTAGGTAAATCGTTACCTTTTAGTTTTAAATTAGTGAGATACATGGAAAGAGCAAATTCGGGAAAGGAAAGATAATTGTTCTTTGATAGGTTTGATAATTTCCTAAACAAATCATAAAAAAATTAATAAAAAGAAAAGAAAGAAAAAAACTCTTGATCAAATAACAAACCATATTTGAGAAAGTGTAGTGGCATCTAATTTGGACTTTAAAAGGATTTCTTTTGCACCTTCACCTTAATTTGGAAAAGAGAAATGAATTAGATCAATGAATAACCTTGTCATGAACACGTTTTTGATATTTCATTATTTTACCAGTTAAATATTTTCCCCCGGAACAACCCTGTATATAAAGCTGCTCAAATTTTGTTTGATCTGCTGCGGTAATGAATGCAAGGCGAACTATCGAGTATTTTGTTAATAAAAAAGGAGGTTCAGTTATTAATACAAGAGTGAAATAATTATGAATATTTATATATATTGTGAATCCTTACCATTAGGGATACTAGGGCCATCTCCTTCTCCTTCGGAGGCCGTACCAGCAACTACCTGTGGTTGTAAAGATGGAGATTGACCGTAACCTATTTGCAAGTTATTGTACATTTAAATGTATTTATGCCGATTGTTCTTTGTAGTACAGGAAAGTAGGTCAACCTACTATTAAAGTAAACGTTATTTGTATTTTTTTTTATTTGATGATTTAAGGATTGTTTAACGAAATTTGAGGGATCTGAAGGGAAATGTTTCTCGATAAAGTTATTTTAAAAAAAAAAAAAAAAAAACTGAAAAAACGTACATGGCGTCATCTCATTACTAAGTTTACTAAAAATAGACAACCAATAATCATAAATTCAATCGGACCAAGAATTTGGTACTCTAATACTGTAACGGTAAGGTTTTAGCCATCATTTTCATGATTCATTTTTAATTTATAAGAAAATACGACTAAAGGGACAATACGTTTAACTAGAGCAGGGCTCATCCTGTTCTATATAAGCCATATTAACTGAGTCAAAAGACAGTTCAAAGGCCATGGGTCGCACGGTCAATTTTTTCTAAATTAGTATTAGTACACAATTCAATTTGTAAAATGTATAATGCATAATACGAATGTTTAAAATAATATTAGCATTTTAATTTCATCACAAAAAATAGTTTGAAAAATTAATCTAGAAACACTCTTCTATAAATTAAAACAGGATGTATTGTATTGCTCTCGAAATATAGATATTTATATTATGTCAAAGATTGTATTTTTGAGTCAAGGATGGTGTTTTTTATTTTTAATAAGTTGGTTTTGAATTCGAGCATAAATATATAATAAAAATACATAGATGTCTTTAATACAAAATTTAAATTTAAATTACAATTTTATATAACAGATTAATTTGAAAGGAGGATTTTTTACAATACTGAGAATTCTAATGATTTAATTAAATCCACCATTAAAACTATTCCCCTGATAATTTTTTGAGAAATTGTTATAATCTCTGAAGGTAGCACTTTTTGGCGTAGAAGGGCTGATGCTATTGTCGGAAATTCTTTGAGGTGGTACAGGGAAAAAACCTCCTACTGATGAGTCGAAACTTGAGGCATTACTTTGCCGCGTTTGATAATAATCATTATAATCTTGCGTATAATCAGTTCTTTGAATATTATAATCATTATAATCGCTTAAAGTGATTCTACTAGGTGATGATAGGTTATGATCTTTTGTATATGGAGACAAATGATTGTTATTGTTATTATTATTATTTTTATTAAAAGTGTTTTCAGAAGAAGAATCATAATTAAGAAGAATTTTCGTTGAAGAAAGTCTGGTTAATTGAACCGTTGGAGGTTTGCTCAGAATGCGTGGTGAGTTTATCATTGATTTATCAATAAACCTTGGTTTTTCAATCATTTGAGAATCATCATCATCATAAAGGCGCACCGCACCTTTTCGTGAATTAATCCTTTTTCGATAAACGATAAACGCTGCCAAAATAATCACCCCAAGAAGGATCATGCCGATTGCTATGATAGTTCCAATTGATAATTTTTGTGAATTATTTTGTTTAAAAGGTAATTGTGACTTTTCTGGTAAAATTGTAGGAGTTATGTCCCCTAAAATAGTGGATTCTTTGGGTTTTTTTGGATCCTTCTTTTTAATTTCATCTTTCTCATCCTTCTCCATATTTATTGGCTTAGTTTCCTTTGTCTTTGGAACGACTTTATCTAAATCTTTTTCTTTATTCTTATCATTATTGAATGTACCTATTGGAATTGTTTTACCTTCCTTTGGATTGGGATTATTTTTTGGAATTTTATCATTAGTCTTTCCAGGTGTGTTTTGTGGTTTTTTTAAAGGGAGTGCGGGTTGTTTTGCATTTTTAGGTTGTGGATTTTTCTGCTGGATTTTAGTTTTAACATTTTTATTTACAGGTACCCTCTTATCAAATGACAATGGTCGCCAGTTTATCTTGCCAAATCTTGAGTGAATAGCCATTACAATCGCGAAAAGGATGTAATATCGATGGATTAATAGTTCTTTTTCTTTTATTTTTTTTTTTTATAAAAAGAGAGGAAAAAAAAAAAAAAAGATTGGAAAGGGATTATAAAAATTCCCAAAAAAAAAGAAAGGAAGGAAAGTCCAAAGTATGGACTAAAATGTTCGATAAAGGAAAGTAAAAAGTTAAAAAAAAACGAATTTAAAATTTGTGCAAGTTATTTTATTTTATAATCAAACTCATTATTGTAAATAATTGAGCAAAGGGTTTGTATTGTAATAAAACGCGTGGTATCACAGCAACATAAACATCGGTTCATAAGTACAACGCGATTTTTTTTAATACCTATAAATAGAAATTTAAAAAATAATCGTCTTTCTTTGACATGATAATTCGGGAAATTAAGTGAGTTCATTCATTAATAATAAACAATCAATTTATTTAATTTATTTTTAAAATAAAAAGATTTTGTTTATATTTTGTATTTCATTTTATAACTTCTATTAAAAAAATTATGTAATCTTTGAAGCGTAATCTTTGAAGTGACATTACACAAAACGTCACAAAGTGTAAATAGATCAACGTCAAATGTCCTATCTTTACTTGGACCAATGTTAATCGAAAAAAATAATCGGTGAAAGATACAACGATCGTCTCTGCTCTTCTTCAAACTTTGTATTTTGGTTTTCGATATTATTGGTACAAAAGATTTGCGATACTTACATGCCGAGAATTAAAGGTCAACAAATATTTATGATGAAATACAAAAACTGAAGGTTACAAATAATATCACATATAAAGAAGTAGCCAATCTAACCATCACACCTATGCTTTTCGGATCAAAATATTTTTTCATAATTTTTGTTTATATTAAGAGAAATGAACTCTACCATTACACCAATACCAAAGGTATTCTTTTCATAGCGGTAAAATCTTATTTGCGCAGTCGACGCGGTGAAACGTTACGATGAGTTGCGTCGTGTAAATGTCTTGTCCTCATTACAGAAACCTAAAATTGTAAATGATATATATATGATGACACTAAAAGGTTTATTGAAATTAAAATTTTCGTCAAATAGATCCTAATATAAATCCTTTAAAAGGAAATTTTCAATCAATCGGAGAGATTATTATCAGTTTAATAAAAATCAATCATTATAAAAAAAAAAACATGGAATCCGAATCTTTATTACAACTTTCTCAGGATCTTGGAAACTTTTTCGAAAATGAAAAAAATTATGATATGATCATTAAGGCTGGTTCCGATGATGATATAGAAGAGTTTAAAGTTCACTCCATTATTTTGAGAGCTCGTTCTTCCTATTTTTGCGCTGCGTTTTCAAAAAATTGGATTCAAAAGGAAAATGAATATATTACCTTTACAAAACCAAACGTTTCACCAAAGGTGTTCGGCTTTATCTTAAAGTAAGCGATAATGACAAGTTATTATGATTTCTAGTAAAATATATATATATATATACAGTATATATATAATTTGATTTTAAAAATACGTCATTCTTGATTTAGGTACTTTTATACAGGAAAACTTGAATTTAATAATTATGAACCCGTAGATCTACTATTAATTTTAGTTGCGGCAGATGAAATGAATATTGAAGGAATTGTAAAATATTTATTACAACATTTGATTGACAATTATCAAGGTTTCCTGAGTAAAGATCCTTTACGTATATTACAAACCGTATTATTACATGAAGCGTGTTCACTTTTGAAAGATTATTGCTTTGATTATATCTGTGAAATACCTAATTTATTATTTGATTCCGAAGATTTCATATCCTTGGATAAAGAGATCCTTTTGATTTTATTAAAGAGAAACGTTTTATTTATGGATGAAATTGAGATCTGGAATTACTTAATCAAATGGAGCGTTGCTCAAGTGACACCCGCTCTTGATATTGAAGATATATCTAATTGGTCCTCAAACGATTTTACCTCGGTAAAAGATTGGATGTCGGATTTTATTCCATTAATTAGATGGTTAGAAATATCCCCTGTTGACTTCAAACGATATGTCATACCACTAGAAAAAGTTCTTTCAAAGGATTTATTTATGGAAATCATATGTTATCATTTAGACCCAAAGACAAAATTAAATTTTCCAATCTTACCCTCGAGAAACTCTTCAATCGATTCAACACTTATTAATCAACAACACCTTTCAATTCTATCAAGCTGGATTGATGACCAAGATGATAATTACGTAAGATTACCTTATATATTTAAACTTCTTTTTAGAGCGACTAGGGACGGTTTTGACGCTAAAAAATTTCATGAAATATGTGATTATAAAGGTGCAACTTTGACCGTAGTCTCTTTAAAAAATTCAACAGATTTAATTGGTGGATATAATCCACTTGATTGGAGATCATCGCACACTTGGTGGAAAACTTCTAAAAGTTTTTTATTCTCCCTAACAAAAGATACCGATACCTCAAAATGTATAACTGGTAATATCTCACGCATAGATCCTGATGAATCGGATAGAGCTATTTTATATAATAGGAAGTTTGGTCCTAGTTTTGGTGGTGCCCCTAACCTTGCTTTAACCAATAATCAAGTATATTGTTATAATTCTAATTCTTATCCCGGTTCGGAATCTTTTATCTCCGTAGGTCTGACAGAAATGGCAAATTATGAAGTATTTCAAATTATAGAAATTAAAAATCATTAAATAAATTTATTGTCATCGATGTTCTTTGCGTATGTATAAATGAAGAATGGCCGGGATATGATAAATTTTCTAACCTCCTTAACTAATCTACCAATATGTTAAGATTTAATTGATTTTCATCCAAAGAACGAATTGCCTTGGAGGTTAAGGATCTTACATATATGAAAATTAATTTCTCTCTCTGACCATTCCAGAAAAGTTTGCCGATCTTGAGCCAAAACAATTTTCGATGATAATATCAGAAAATACATAGTGTTACCCAGTTAAAATTTGAAGATAGTTCATGTTTATATATATGATTTATCTAGAGCAGTGATGAACATTCCAAGCATTTTGAGACTATCCCACACACATTATTCCAAACTGTTCCACATTAAGTCCCAATGTTTCAGACTATGAGCCTTCTCAACTCCACTTAAATTTTGAGTTATCTATGCATGCATGTGTAACAGGAAACTAATAAATGAATGAATACTCATTTTTTTGCTCAAAATCATGTGATCTTTGTAATATATATGGGGTGAGTGCTGAGAAAAGGGACCAAATTAAAAAATTTTTTAAAAATTTATTTTTAAGTAAAATAGATACAATTTTTATCATTTAATCCAGAACTTTAATTATTTTTAAAAAAGTTTTTTTTATAATTTGGTCCCTTTTTCCAACACTCACCTTATATAGGAAAATCATAATTTGTTCTGAAGATATAGAATGGATTCTTAGCCTGTTCTGCAACTATATTTATTACGTGATACTTATTTTAAAAATATATATTTATATCGGGAATATACAGAATTAAAAATAAGATTTAGAATTATTGAAAATTTTGTCAATGAGTTTTCAATTTATCAGTTTTTTTGAAAAATTATCAGAAAAAATGTCTAATCCTATAAAAATTTTTCAGTTATTAATTTTTAATTAAAAAAAAATAAAAAATTATGATTTTGTATTTAACTAAACATTATCATTATATGTATTTAATTAATTCTTCTTTTACAACTTTAATACCAAATTTATAATATGCTATCAAAATTAAATTTATATCATACAATCCAATTGTTATTAATATATGTAATATATCATTATTAAGCTGATTATGAATATCAGTCTTAATTAAATTTTGTTTAGAAAACCTTTTTTTATAATCTACACTAGAAAATTTTATAAAATAAAATATATTAATCAAAATTAAAATATTAGGATATATATCCATCAATAGTGTAAATAGATTTACAAAATAATCTATATATAATTGATCTACATATGAAAGTATTTCTAGTAAAATCACATTACAGATCATATGAAATACTATGCTCATAACTTGATTTTACTGAAAATGTTTTATATGATTGATCTACAAAAATTGATCTACTAGTTGATCTACAAATTGATCTACATGTTAATGCTGAAAATGTTGATATTATTAATATAGTTAATATGAGTTTACTAATTTACCTCCAAGTTCTGATTGGCTGATATAATTAAGATTAGTTAGGATTAGAATTAGGGTTAGGGTTAAGGCTTAAGTGATTTATTACCAGTATAACACTGATAATATTTTAATTTTTATTAAGTATCTGAAGGACGTAAAATTTTTTTGAATGGTAATGTTTATTTGTCACCTTTTCAGTACATAACAAATAACATAGTTAAATAAGGATAAATTAGTGAAATCAGTTAATATAATTAATATGGTTGATATATTTGACATGTTTAATTTATTTAATATATGTAATAAATTTGATATAGCTTATTTATTTAATATAGTTAATTTGTTATTATATGTATTTCAAAATATATAAATATGAAAGGCGGTCAGTAAAAAAGGAGAAAATCCAAAATTTTTGTTAATTTTAATTATTAAACTAATTTTGTGCATATGACCAAGATCAGCCAAGTGGTCCAATAATATAAATTTTGACTAAAATTTGGATTTCCCTTTTTTTTACTGACCGCCTCCCATATAGTAGCTTAGAACTTGTAATAAAAAGCAGAATTTGACAAGTTGTGTAAAATTAACAATTTTTCAAACTTCTTAACTAGCTATATAAATAATTTTGTGAATTTATCTTCTTCTATTTTATTTTCTCTTTTATTTCTTTTATTTTTTATTTGTCTTCTTTTTTATATTTTTATCAATAAACTCCTTCTATTTTATCTTTTACATTTTCGTAAGTCTGTGTAATATATCAATTTTTGTTAATATTAAATCTTAACAATTTATGTGAATCTTAATGATAATTTATAACAATTTTATACCCGAATTTCAGAATCAAGTTTTAACTATCCAATTATACTTAATGCAAGCATTATCATTAGTTTATAATCACTATCACTAGCGATTAATGCAATTATACTAGGCTTTTTGGTAATTAATACTTCAGTTACAGAGGACATCAATGCCCCTTTTCATAACTTTGAGAGTTTCAATCGTATACTATTACATTGAATCCCTGTTTCTGAATACAGTATCAAAATGTATTATTAGATGGCAGACGTGATCTACATGATCTGATCATTGTCAGAGTATCCTCTAACTTGCATTTATCTTGTATAACTGCAAGAAGTAGATTGTAATCAATGCGAAATTGGTTAAAGCATAAGGAATCTCTACTGCGATCAAATGTGCCCATATACTCGAGATCAGTAATAAAGTACTTTTCTTTGATAAAAATATTGGCATTATCAACAAATATATAAACTGACTTGGGATCTTAACATGGCTGTTATTTTTCATTAGTTGTGATAAGATTTATTTGAATGTGATATTACATAAATATCTGAGCAAGCAAATAAAACCACTATCTGATTATCAATTTCTACTTTTTCCTTTACATTTTTTTGGTTTTTCTCTTTTACTTTTATTGAATAAATTGATTGACTAGCTCTCAAGAATGCAAACCATTGAATAATAAGACTAAAACTATTGTTCTTTTATCTCACAAAAATACCAAAAAGTGTGACAGTTATTCTTTGACAAAATAATAAAATCATTTTAAAAAAAAATTTCTGTTGAATAAGATTCTGAGATATGATACATTTTCTTATTAGCATTTGTTACAAAACACATGATTGAATTTCAGCCTCTTAAATTACAGTGACTCACAAAAGTAATGCAATCACAAAACATAAAACTTTAAATCAATGTAACTTTTTATTCATAAATTATATCAAAATAAAATAAAGTTTATTGAATTTCCTGAATCAAATTTTATTAAAAAATAAAAATCTATTCTGATTTGATCACGTGAAAAAAACTATGCTATGATTTTCAAGTTTTTGGTGTTGTATTATTTATGTGACTTTCGGTAATTAATATTTAACCAATTAGATTTAATCCAAAAGAAAATAACAAATGCTGTACTAATACATTTACTTATTGGCTTACTATTCTGTGTATTCCCTTTTCACCTTGATTACATCATTTACTCTTTTCAGTATAGACTCAATTAAATTCAAACATACATCAACCTCAATCCCATTCCACACATCTTATAATTTCTCACAGGTCTTCCTTTCCCGTAGCTCACTCTAGAAGATATCTTAAACAACGTTTAGCTTCATTCCAAAGGTGTTCTATAAGGTTTAAGTTTGGAGACTGTGTAAGTCAGTCAAGAACAGTCACTCCATTTTCGAAAAGCCAATCCTTGATAAGATTTGCATATATTTAGGGTCATTATCATGTTGAAAAATTATATTTTCAACACTCAATTCCCAATCTGAAATGGATTCTATAAGATCTTCTGCAAGAATTTGCCAGTAAAGTTTTCTATTTAAGCTACTATTAATTTTGCAGAGGTTATTAATACCTTTTGCTGAAAAGCAATTCCAAACTATTATGTTATCCTCACCAAATTTTACTGTTAGTTTGATATGAGGACTTCTTAATAGTTTCCCTGGTTTCTTCAAGCAGTATTGGCATTCATCCAAACTAAAAAGCATGAATTTACTTTCATCAGACCAGATTACTTTCTTCCAATCCTTTACAATCCAATTTTGATGTTTTTTTGTGAAATTTAAGCAATGTTTTCAGTGTGTTTTTTTGAGGTAAAGCTTCTTTTTCTTAATTCTTGATTTCAGACTATTTCTTTAAAGTGTTTAGCATATGGTTTCAGTCAAAATTTGAATCTTATCATAATTTTTGAGTACCTCTTATATATCAACCACTGTAAAGTATTCATTAGAAGCAATAAGTCAGAGAATTCTACATTCTGTGTGAACAGAAATTGCTCAAGAATAGCCTTTTTTTTTTATTTTTAAAATACCTATCTCTTCTTTACGTTGATGAATTCTAGTGAATGTAAACTTATGGACACCTTCTTTAGATATGATGATATTGCATTGATAACCTTCTTTGAGAAGTGCAAAGATTTTTGCTTGTTTTTCAATGAATAATTGTGGCATATTAAGAACAATTTTTTTGTTGGCAAGAGAAAGGGTTAGGATTTGTTTATTGTTATTGTTCTATATTTAGTAACCCATTATTTTCAATTTAATCTAGCCAAAACGGGTAGACCCAGAAAACTGCAAAAGTAATACAACTTCTAAAATGGAAAATTTGTGGTCAATCTGCAGATCATGTGATTAAATCAGAATGTAATTATAAATTTTTATTAATTTTAATTTGGCAAATTCAATAAACTTTATTTTATTTTAATATAATTTATATTTAAAAAGTTACATTATTTAAAATTTTATGTTTAACAGTTGCATTACTTTTATGAACCACTGTAAATTATCACATTTTAAATAATCCACATAAATTGTCCGACTGATGAATCTGGATCTCTCTCTATAGGAATATCCAGTGAACTTACAAATAAAATGATCTTTACACCTCTAGATAAATATTATAAGTCCTTTTCATATGGTTTTGAACCTGATATCACAAAGGCAAATCAAATTCTTGAAATTACCGGTAATCCAATTCAGTATTAAAGAAACAAAGAAATATTGGAATTTTTTATTCATTTGAACGTTTTTTGTTGGTGAGAATGGTTAAATAGTGAGACTGTTCTTTTTTATTTTAATAAAAAGACACAGTTAAAAGCAATAAAGCATTGGATTGAACATAATATTTAAGAAGTAAAAGAAATTTTTTTCTTCAAAGTGCATTATAACTTTAGGCTTGTTAAGATTATATCATGTGAAATAGATCTGTTTCAATTATTTTGGAAAACGTAATAATGTTGTAGTAAATTTCCAGTAGAGGAATTAATAATCTTAGGATATAAAAAGTATCATTACTTATTGGTACAAATTTTTAATATGTAGGAGTGATTCACATTTTTTCTTTGTAATTCATTCATTGAATTATTTCAATAACAAAACTTATGACAGAATTTTAATAAACTGCCTTGCAAAATAATCTTGCACATGTGGTGGAGTTGTGATAGAAAATTGTGTCATGCTTATGATAATTTGTTAATCTGTTAATATAATTTGTGTTTCAGCTAAAAAATTTATGGCTATGGTGGAGATCTCAATTTTCTTTACTAATCGTTTTGAGGCTAATCAAAAATGGGTATAAAGGATAAATCCTTTTGATTCTTATTGTTACCAATCTGCTATTGCATATTTATATTTCTAGCCTGTTCTCTAGGATCTATAATTCAAAACAATCACCTTACATGATCGCAATATTCTGAATTTGATTCCTAGATTTTATCTACATTGCTCAAGTAAAACAATTCAAACAAATTAACTGAGACAAAAAGTAATCATAATCACATGTTTCATAACCAATAACTTCCCAAATTTGCCTCATCATATTAACTGTAATAAATGTATTTCATTCTCAAAAATTCAGCATATGGGAAATTTGCTAGGAAAATAGAACTCTGAGAATTTTTTATTAAAATTTTAATTTTTATTGCATTTTAATTTTTGATAATATTAGATTAAAATGCAGTAAAAATTAAAATTTTAATAAAAAATGCTCAGAGCCCCATTTTCCTAGCAAACCTCTCATATATCTTTTGTTTTTTTTGTTTTTTTATATATAAAAAATCATGTGATATGATGTCATTTCGATCATTTTGACTTTACCTCCAATAGTCGAAATTATTTCGACCATTTCAATTATTTCAGATATTCAAAATAATCTATTTTGACTTCATGTATAATTTAGACATCTGTTTAAATTTAGATTTTATCCAGTAATCTTATTAATGAATATTGATCTGAGATGAAAGCTTTATTATAATTGGCTCTTATAGTTATACCTTCAACTGAAAAATTGAGGAATCATCAGAATATTCAATAATTATTAAAATAATATCAATAGAATTCTAATTAAAATAATAATAATGATTATAGCATAAATAGTAGAAATAATGATAATATACTGTATACTAATCAAAATTATTTCTTTTAGCACTAATACCTTTTAGTTAACATTCAGCTGATTTGGTTATATGATTTGATAAAATTTGGCTTATATTACAAAAATTGATAGTTATTTGTTATATCACACATAATTTAGCATTATTTCAGCATTAAGACCTTTCATTAATCATTCAGTTAATTCAATTATGTGATTTGGCAAAAATTTAACTTGAATTATAATAATTTATCATATCACATAAAATTTAACATTATTTTAATACTAATATAATATTCAATAATATTCAGAAAAATTTCAGTTAGACTTAAGATTTGATAATAAATAGACTGTATTTCATTGATCAAAATCTGTTAAGCTGATTTTTGCAAAAATTATAAAAATATTTTGAAAGTAATCATCCTAAAGAAATGATAAAATTGTCTCAAACAAAATGATAGAATTGTTTTAAAAGAAACAATTTCTATCATCTCAAAAGGAATGATACAATCATCCTAAAAAAATGATAGAAATCATCTCAAAAAGAGCAATACAATCATCACAAAAGAGACAATAGAAATTGACTTTAAAGGAATGAACTATTATTCCAAAAGACAATAGAAATCATTCTTAAAGAAATGAACCATCATTCCTAAAGAGATGATAGAAATCATTTATAAAGGAATAAATTATTATTTCCAAAAAAACATTACAAATCGTTTCTAATGGAATGAACAATCATTTCTAAAGAAATGATAGAAATTATTTCTTTATAAATAAACAATTATTCCCAAAAAAAAAACAATAGAAATTGTTCCTAAAGAAATAAATTATTATTTCTAAAAGATGATAGAAATCATTCTTAAAAAAACGACGCATCATTATTCTGAAGAACAATTTTGACATCATTCTTTTAGAATAATATATCATTGTTTTAAAAGAACAATGATTTTTTTATTATTCTTAAGGAATTATTAAATTATTATTAGGAAAGAACAATATTTTTTCATCGTTTTTTTAAAACAATTTCATCATTGTTTTGAAAGAACTTTTTTTATCATTCTTTTAGAATGATACATCATCATTCTGAAAGAATATTTTTTCATACTAGTCGAAATCATTTCTTTTAGCACTAATACCATTCAGTTAACATTCAGCTGATTCAGTCATATGATTTAGCAAAAATTCAGCTTAAGTTACAAAAATCGATAGTCATTTGTTACACTACACATAATTTAGTATTATTTCAGCATTAGATTTTTCGTCAAACATTCAGCCAATTCGGGTATGTGATTCAAAAAAAATTCAGCTTAAGTTATAAAAATCAATAGTAATTTGTTACATTACACATAATTTAGCATTATTTCAGCATTACAGCTAATTTCATAATTTGTGGATCACTAATAAATTGCGACTGAATGTAACTGAAAATATTTTATAATAAAATATTATGACTGAATATGACCGAAAAATTATTAATGATCCATGGATTATGAAATTAGCTGTAAGATCTTTCGGTTATAATATTTAGCAAAATTTTAGTTAGACTCAAATTTGGTAACAAATAAACTGTATTTCACTAGTCAAAATCTGTTGAGCTGATTTTGTGAAATTATAAAAACATTCTGAAAGTAATTATCCTAAAGAGACAATAGAAATTGTCCCTAAGGAACGAACAATTGTTTCCAAAAGAGACGATAGAAATCGTCTCAAAAGAAATGATACAGTTATCCTAAAAGAAATAATAGAAATTGTCTCAAAAGAAATGATATAATCATCCTAAAAGAGACAATAAAAATTGTCTCAAAAGGAACGATACAATCATCCCAAAAGAGACGATAGAAATCATCTCAAAAGAAATGATTGTTTGTCTAAAAGAGATGATAGAAATTGTCTCAAAAGGAATGATTGTTCATCCTAAAAGAGACGATAGAAATTGTCTCAAAAGAAACGATTGTTCATCCCAAAAGAGACGATAGAAATCATCTCAAAAGGAATGATTGTTCGTTCTAAAAGAGATGATAAAATAATCTCAAAAGGAACGATACAATCATTCCCGAAGAGACAATGAAAATCGTCTCTAAAAAAATAATAGTTTTTTATCATTTTTTTTAGAATGATTCATCATCATTCTGAAAAGAACATTTTATTTATCATTCTAAAGGAACGATTATATATTATTCTGAAAAGAACGAATTTTTTTATCATTCTTTTGAAATAATATATAATCATTTCTTTAGAATGATTTTTATTATCATTCTTAAGGAACAATCAAATTATTGTTCCTTTTATACGATTTTCTATATTGTTTCTAAGGAACAATTAAATCATCATTCCTTTCGAACAATTTTTGTAATCATTCTTAAGGAACAATCAAATCATTGTTCCTTTCAAATGATTTTCTATATCATTTTTAAGGAACAATTAAATCATCATTCCCTTTGAACAATTTTTGTTATCATTTTTAAGAAATAATCAAATTATCATTTCTTTCGAATAATTTTCTATATTGTTCTTAAGGAATAATTAAATCATTGTTCCTTTTGAATAATTTTTGTTATTATTTTTAAGGAACGATCAAATCATCATTCCTTTTGAATGATTTTCTATATTATTTTTAAGGAACAATTAAATCGTCATTCCTTTTGAAAGGTTTTCTATATCTTTCCAATCAGATGATGCAAATTCATCTATTTGGAGTATTAACTTTTTCCTTTTATTTTCTTTTTTTTTTTAGGAAATTCTTATTTTGGAATTAAGTGTGCAAATCAGAAGTGACTTTTGAATGGTTATTAACACTTTTACTTTGTTTTTCTTTGATTTTTTTAGGAAAATTCTCTTTTCTAAGCTAAGATAAGCCTTTCAGAGTGTACTTTTGGATGGTTTTTAACCTTTTTTTCTTTATTTTTTCTTTACTTTCTTTAGGAATACATTAAGGTAAGCCTTTCAGAGATGGATTTAGTGAGTTTTCTAACTTTTTTCTTTAATTTTTTTAGGAATATCATTAAGGTAAGCCTTTCGCAAGTGGTTTTTAATGGGTTTTCTAAGTTTTTTCTTTACTTTTTTTAGGAATACATTAAGA